CTTTTGGGAGACATCTTGGGCCCCCCACCGCCCTCTCTTGGAGCCAACCTGGTGCACTCTTGGGACCCCTCTCGGGGACTCTCTGAGGCCGTGGAGGCCCTCTTTTGGGGTCATCCCGACAGCCAGCGATCAAGACGGGAGAGAGGCGTAAGTTTCGCCCCCCCGCCGTCCTCAGTTGAGCTCCATGGGGCCATCTCGGGCCGGCCCCTACCGCGCTTTGCTTTGGGCCGTCTTGAGCCGTGTTGGAGCCATCTTGGGGCCTGCGGACGCGAACATGCGAGAAGGGAAACAACATTGGAATAACACAGTGTGGTTGAAGGATGCGCGGACGGCCAGTTGCCAAGAGCACAAGGAAGAACCCCTTGGTGCAAGCGCTGCTTCTGGAGAGCCACGGCAAGCCGTGAGTGGTCGCGCCAACGGGCGGGTCGCAGCGGTGGTTCGTCGCGGCGAGGGGCGGCGGCCAAGGCCAGCACAGCGGCATGTCGAGAGCATCGCAGCAAGGATGCGCGCAGAACCGCCGGGGTTGCGCTTCTGGGGGACCGCATGCGAACCCTACCCCTGCCCCCCACGATGTTTGAGGGGGAGGGTGGGGTTCACTTCGTTCGGGAGCTCGCGAGCGAAGTGAACCCCCACCTCCCCCTCAGAAATCGTGGGGGTAGGGGTAGGGTTCGCATGTGGCCCCCTAAGCCCTAGCTTCGTTTGGCCGTAGGCCGACAAGGGAAATCTGAGCGAAGGCGGCTGTGCTTGTCACGGGCCGAAGAGGCATAATTGTTCGAATTACGACTGCACGCGCCGACAGGTCGCCACGGTTGCGGCGGATCTGCATTCTTCATCCAGGACCCGACAAAACAACCGATGACATGCATTTATATAGTACGGTGGTCGTGTAGAGAAGTAGTCTTCGCAAGGGGAGGAGACGGTTGGGGACGTGGTTGAACGATGGGGAGAGGGAGGATGCGGTGGAGGAGGAGGGGGGAGGAGGACAAGGAGGAGGAGGATACGAGGAGGAGGAGGATGATAACAAAGAGGATGAGAAGGCGGCGGAGCAAGAGGACGACGACAACGAGGACGACGAGGCACGGTGGCAGAGGCGTAGTCGCGGGCGAAGGTCAGGACCACGCATGGGAGCAGGAGGAGGGGAGGAGACCCTCCCGCCCCTTTCCCATCCCCTCCCGTCCACCTGCGCCTTCCCTTCACTCCTCCTCCTCCTCTCCCTGCTCGTCCTCCTGCTCCCCTCCCCGTCGCCCTCCCCTCCCCAGACATCCGACTCTCTGAAGTTGTCAATCCTTGCCCCACAGCCCACGACCGCTCCTCTGGGCGCAGGCATTCGTCCCGGGCCCATATGAAGATGGCCCCGGGGCCCCGCTACGGCCCCCCAGAGGCCGCGAGTCAGGAAGAGCTCCGCGATCTGACACAGATCAATCCCTCCGAAGTCTGGGTTCCCGTTCTCCTCCTCCTGCCCCTACCCCCGACGACGACGTGTTGGGGATGTGCAGGACCGGGATGGAGCGTTCCAGGTTGTTCTGAGAGCGTTTCCCAAATCGCTGCGTAACGGCCGCGGCGCTGGATCTCAGAGATTCCCGAGTTGCCCTGGTCCGCTGTTGTCCCTGTCCAGGCTCCGTGCCGGGGGGTCCAAAACCATGTTGTGACAGACCATGCGGTGACCTCGAAATCCCAAGAGACCTCACCGCGCGGAGCGGTCCGTCATCGCACGGCTTTGGGACCTCGGATGCCTTCGATTCACCCGAGACGCTCTCGGAGACCGACCAAGGTCCCCAAGCCGTGCGATGACCCCGAAGCCCGTCTGACTCACCTCACGGCGTGGTCGGCGTGGACACCGAGGAAGAGGAGGAGGCAGAGGAGGAGGAGGAGGAGGAGGAGGAGGCGGAGGAGGACCAGTGTAAACCCAAGAGGCATCAACGACTTTAAAATAGACCTTCCCTCCAAGCTCCCTCTTCATAGGCCCCTACAACGGCCCATTTTCATTAAGGGAACTGCCTCGTTGGAAGGCAACCGTTTGAAGACCCTGCAGCATGCTAAAACATGGTTCTCGGGATTTCAACGCCACAGATCAACCTGACTGTTGCGTGTTGACGATCCAGAATCGTACTAGAACGCCGTTCCTGGGACTTCAAAACAGCGAATCAACGTAACCATTGCGCCCGGGAGGAGGATGAGGAGGAGAAGGAGGAGGAGGAGGAGGAGGGGGACCAGGAAGGAGGAGGAGAAAGGAGGAGGAGGAGGAGGAGGAGGAGGAGGAGCAACAGGAGGAGAGGGAGGAGGAAGGAGGAAGGAGGAAGGATGAGGAGGAGGAGGAGGAGGAGGAGGAGGAGGAGGAGGAGGGAGGAAGGAGGAAGGAGGAAGATTTTGGACAGGAGTAGGAGGAGGAGGAGGAGGAGGGAGGAGGAGAGTCCTCGTAGGGCGCCTCCCCGGCCGTCGCGCCCGCCAGCGTTCTGCGTCTGCTCGCCCTCCGGCGGCGACCAGCAGCCCTCGCAGGGAGGCGCGGCGGGGGCCGCTCGCCTCGGGCCCGCCCCCCCCCACCCCCCCTCTCTCGGGCGAGCAAGCCCAAGGCTTCAGTCACCAGAGACCCTCCTCCTCCTCCTCCTCCTCCTCCTCTCCTCCCTCCTCCTCCTCCCCCTCCTCCTCCTCTTCTTCATCGTCCTCCTCATCCTCCTCCTCCCCCTCCCCCCCCCCTCCTCCTCCTCCTCCTCCTCCTCCTCCTCCTCCTCCTCCTCCTCCTCCTCCTCCTCCTCCTCCTCCTCCTCCTCCTCCTCCTCCTCCTCCTCCTCCTCCACTTCCTCCACGTACCACTGCCACCAGCTAGGGGGGTGGCCGTCTCGAGCTTTTGGCACCTCGTTCCTGTCATGCCTCCGGAGAGTGCCCAGAAGGAGGTGCCACCAGCTCGAAGGGAGGGAGCGGCCACCTCCCTAGCTGGTGGTAGTGGTATTATTGTCTTTTCTGATCTAGGCTGAAGTCGGGCATGTCCCTCTACAGGAGGAATATATATATACATCTATATATATATATATACATTTAGATTTTAAAAATAGAAACAGTCAAACAATGGCCAGGGACTATTTGTCGACTATGTTTGACTATTGTTCATTATGTTTGACTATTGGTACTCTTTCCTCCACAATCCGCCTGTAGTAGGACATGCCTAACCCTAGGTCGCCTAGGCCTCCCAATCGTGGTCCGAGGAGATGGGGGTCGAAGGATCGCGTGGCATCGCCAAGGCATCCGCGATGCGACGCGACGGGAGGCCCGATTTTCTCCACGCCGACGGCGCCGATGCAGCGCTGGCATCGCCGATGCATCGGCGATGCATTGGCGATGTGGCGCGATTATCCGACCCCATTTAGTCGGACCCCATCTGGGAGGCCTCCTCCAATGCAGTCACAGGGGGTCACTCGTAGACAAGGGAGGCACAGCCGCCGACCAATGGAAGAACCGCAAACACTGCACAAACATAACTTATCTGAGCGCCGAGCGGATTTCTTGCACCACTGCTGGGCCCCCCCTGGCGGCGCCTCAGGCGCCGCCCCTGGCGCGCTCCGCGCGCCTGCGACGGGGGTCTAGCGCCGATCCCCAAAAATCAGCGCGGACCTCAGAGAAGTCATGTTTATGCCGCTGTTGTTTTGTCTGCGACATCATGGGCCCCACCCGACTGATTCGGGCTGGTAGATCTAAAGAGCCCCTGCCCCGCCTCGCGCACCCTGCACACAGGGGGAACCCATGCCGAGAAGCACCCTGCTTGCCTCCAGGGTGCCCTGGGTTTCCTTGGGTTTCGATGGTCTTGCGGCGGAAAGCGTGAATTTCCCACACCAAAAATCAATGGGCGTCCTGGGATCTCAGGGCTTGGTTTCTTGTGGGAGGTTTCTTGTGGTGGAGCTCCTACTGTACTTTATCATGTGCCTCGCCCGACAGACTGGGGCTGTTTGATCTAAAGGGAGACGCTCCCGACCCGCCTCGCGCGCCCTGCATAACGCGCGACCGCCAGACCCCGGAGTGTGCCGGTGCTTCCTGCGTGATGCGGTTCGTGCCTTCGACGAATGACCACCGCATGCCGCGGCCACCAGGCTGAAGTCGGGTCTGTCCCTCTACAGGGGGAATATTCCAGAACAGCGAAAATTACTGGGGTGACGATGTTCAACAATTCTTTAGACTTGTTGTTTCTTTTGCTGTTTCGTTTCTTCCAACCCCCGCCTGTAGGAGGACACGCCCCATCTAACACCAGTCCCAACGTGTGCAGGTGCTCTCTGGATATCGCTCGCTCGAGGTAAAATGCTATCTCTTCGGGGTTGTGCAAAGCTTCCTACGAGGCAATGCCTCACCAACGAGGGAAGGCCTTGGGCGTGCTTTTATATGTAGGCTCATGCCAAGAACCAAAATACCTCCCTGGCTGCATTGGAGGCAGGATGACTCGCTACATGACCAGATCTCAGATCTCCAACGGCATGTGTGGTCAATCCTTCGCTCGTTCTCCTGATTGGATTCTCTTGGGCCCCAGGGACGTCAGCAACGGATCTGGGACGCAACATTACCTCCGTGGAAACGGTCGTGACCTTGGGGCCGCAGGATAAAAGTACCGAAACCGAAGCACACAGTTCCCTGACGATGTACCCAAACTGTGCGCAACGTGTGACCAGAAGAGCTGGGAATAACCTAAATTTGTTGCGGAAGCTACTTGGGAAACCCCAGCCGAGCTGCGCGATTCGTGGGGCACCGATCGATGGACAAAGGCTTGATGCGTTTGATACATGATGCTCTCGGCTCGACAGGATAGAGAGCTACACCCCCCAACAGCCCTCGAACGTGGCGCCATTTTCGCGGATCGCAGCCCCCGAAGGGAACGGCGAGGTCCAATCCAGGTCCGCGGCAGGATACCACTATGCCCCCTCCTTGCAGCCCTCGACCTGAGTCTGGGTATGACCCCCACTATTTGAAATTGGCGACCGTTTCGCAGATCGCAGCCCCCAGGGATGGGGAGGTCTTGTCTGAATGTGGTTAGGGCCCCCCCCACTATGCTGCACCCCACTTCCCTCCAGCAGCCCTCGAGAGTGGCGACAATTTCGCAGATCGCAGCCCACCAGACATGGCGAGATCGAATCTGAATCCGCGTGTCACGTCACTGCTGTGGTGGCCACCCCAGCAGCGATCGAAAGTGGCGATTGTTTTGAAGATCGCAGCCCCCCAGAGATGGCGAGGTCTGGTATGAGTCCTCGTATGGGGTCACTGAGCTGGCCCCTCCCCGCAAGCCCTCGAAAGTGGCCATTGCTCCGCAGATCGCACACTTCGTAGGGATGACGAGGTCTAATCTTCCAGTCTGGATCCGCGTATGGCGTCATTCCCCCCAGCAGCCCTCGAACGTGGAGACAGTTTCGCAGATCGGAGCCCCGTTGCATGGAGGTGTCGAATCTGAATCCGCGTACGGTGGCCACCTCCAGCAGCCCCCGAAAGAGGCGACAGTCTCGCAGATCGCAGCCCCCCAGGGATGGCGAGGTCTAGTAAAGGTCTGCGTGGGGCCTCACTCCGCTGAACCCTCGAGCAGCCCTCGAAACCGACGACAGTTTCGAAGATCGGAGCCTCACAGGGATGGCGAGGCCTGATTTAGGTTCTGCGTGAGGCCCCACTGTGCTGGGCCATCCAGCAGCCTTCAACCGTGGAGAGAATTTCGCAGATCGCAGCCCCCAGAGTGGGCGAGATCCGATTTGGGTCCGCGTGGGGCCCCACTGTGGTGCTCGCCCCCCCCCCAGGGATGGCGAGGTCTAATGTACGTCCGCGTGGGGCCCCACTGTGCTGCCCCCCCAGCAGCCTTTGGAACTGGCGATAGTTTCGCAGATCGCAGCCCCCCTGGGATGGCGAGGTCGGAGGCAGGTACGGGAGAGAGAGAGAGAGAGAGGAAGGAGGGAGGCGGGAGGGATGAGGCGGGAGGAAGGACGCGACCACAGTGTTCTTTCGAATGCGAGAACCCAACGCAGGAGGGTTCGGAATAACAGAACGTCTGGAGTTCCGCGCGAGTCTCTTGGATCTGCGCTGGAACCCCTGGCGGCGCCTCCAGCGCCGCCGCTGGCGCGCTCCGCGCGCCAGGGAAGGCGGTCCAGCGCAGACCCAACACATCCGTGTGGAGCTCCGAATTTGTTTTGCTATCCCGTTTCGTCTTCCTCCGGGTGTGGGCCTCGCATTCGGCGCGCTTCTCCTTCGGCAGAAACCGGCGGAAGTGAACAAGGCGGTAGATTCTGCCGCCGGAAGCTTGGCAGAAGGCGAGACGTCGACATGTCTGGATGCGGCGATCTTGGAGTCGGCCACGAAGAGGAGTGGGCTCAGAGGGAAGGGGTCCCCGAGGCATCGGAAGGAGTGTTTTTTTGACCGTGGTGTATTTCATTCATATCTCCTCCCGTCGGGCGGGTGGTAAGGGAGATTACCTACATGGGGGGTGCAGGAAGGGCCCCTTCCCTTCACCACCTTCACCACCCATGTAGGCCCCCCCCCCTGAACCGCCCGATCCCTGGGCCGTCTTCGTGTCCCAGGCCCACGACCATCAAACATGGATCTGGGGCGAAAAGTTTCCCCCGAGGCAAGTGGTCGGGACCTCTCATTGGGCTCCCTGATTTAAAGCAGGACATCTCGTCAGCTGAATGCCGTATTTCTCGGCCTGCCAGGGGTGTCGCTCAAGGTTGGCCTTGGTCTGCTCCGCGCGCAGCGCTTCCAGCCAGGCCTGGCGCAGCACCTCGGCTGTCCGCGTCGGCACGCAGATTGTGTCGAGGTTGTTGTTATTGTTGTTATTGCTGTTGTTGTTGTTTTTGTTGTTGTTGTTGTTGTTGTTGCTGTTGTCATCGTGGTTGTTGTTATTTATGTTGTTGTGGTAGTTGTTGCTGGGTGGTTCTTGTTGTGTTGTTGTTGGTGGTATTCCTGTTCTTGTTGTTCTAGTCGATGTTGTCGTCGTTGTTGTTTTTGTCGTTGTTGTTGCTGTCATTGTTGTTGTTGTCTTGGTGGCGGTGTCGCTGGGTATCCACCACAAGCTGTGCTTACGGTCGGACCTGGCGCAATGTCACGACTGTTCGCCACAGCAGAAGTCGTCTGCGTCAAAGGTGTCTGGAACAATTTTGAGATTGGCGCACCACGATCACGATCGAGTGGGCGAAGTCGGGCATCGTTTGCCATCGTATCCAAAACGTGAAGGGGCAGGATATGAAGGCGAGGGGCTCTTAACCTGCGGGAGCGTTCGCGGACCTTTGGGACTTGAGACACCGCGCAGCGTGGCAGCACACCTCCCTCCCCTTCCTTCTCGCAGTGGTCCTCCAGTGCTTGTTCCATGATCCTGGGCATGCAAGTGCCACACACACACACGCACACACACATACACCAACGCGCGCTCGTACACACGCACGCACGCACGCATGCATGCACGCACGCATGCACGCACGCACGCAGGCAGGCACGCACACACACACGCAACACGTACACGTATTTATATATAGATAGAGAGAGCGAGAGAGA